AGATATGAAATTTAAAATTCCCATTTTTTCAGGTGCATTCAGGCTTGAGCGTTTGAAGCAAGAAATCACACAAAAAATATCTCTATCAATATTCTGTCTACTCCCGTGACATGGTTTCTGTTGGTTCCCCCCTGGGTGAATCCCTGTCCTTTTTTAGGTCTTGGGCAACAAATAGAAATACTAGATGCCTTATGTTTTTGAGATACGGAAGAATGCGCTAGGGGCACTTAGAGAAGCATATGGTAGGTTTGGATCTAATGTCTGGAGATACCAGTAATTACTTCACTTTAGTACTACCCAGGGCCGGTGCTTCCACTAGGCAAAGTAGGCCGCCGCCTAGGGTGCTCTGCCACCTAGGGGCATCTGGGCGCAGCACAGGCCTTTACTCTCTTTGTGTGGGATGATGTCACGTCATAATAATCCTTCAGTTGAGGGGAGGGGCAGAGGGAAAAAAGAAAGGACAGAGGAAGATGCTGGGTGTCTGGGGTCAGTGTAGCAGCTGAGCTGCTGCCACCTCCAGTATTCCTCTCAGACCCAGTCCCTTACTGCAAGCTGGCTGGTGGCTCCTGATCACTATGGAGTTCCAGCCCCTCTCTTCCCATTCATCAACGGAGGCGGATGGAGAAGTATGGAGAAGTAATGTCTGACTCTGATGTATCGTGTCTGTGTGAGTGTGACCTGGCCAGCCGTCCATCATCATGACATCATCACGAACCCACAGCTTGCTCTTCTTGTGCCTTCTTGGCCTGCTGATCTGTGTCAGTGTTGATCTGTGTCATTGTTGGTGGTAGTGTGTTGTGTCGGATCTGTCGCTGTGTGGGATCGCTCAGTTCAGGTGTTCTCTCTGCATGTGCGGGCTGGGCTGCCTACTGTCACAGTGTTTTATCTCCCCACATTGCCTGGGGATTTCCAGCCTGGGATCTGTCAGGATCCATCATCCTCCACTCACTGCAACTGTCACCCTGCCACTGCCAGCCAAAGATACAGTCCATCCGTGACACTGATTTTGTCTTTAAAATTGGTGCTGGTGGCATCTTATGGCACTTGTTTTTGCAAATTAAAGGAAATTTAGCAGTTATATGTTTTGTTGATTTAATATTTTTGACTGTTTTTAAAAATTTTTATTTTTGACTTTTTTTGGGGGGGGCGCAAAAGTAGCTGGTCTTGCCTCGGGTGCAAAATAGTCTAGCACCGGCCCTGGTACTACCCACATGAGGGGTATTAGAGTGGAGGACTCTCTTACTGGGTTTGAATCCTTATGGCTTAGGCCTCTTGAATACCGCACCTTGAAAAAGCTCAGTATAGCGTTTTTTTTACTGATATAAAAAATGCAGCCAATTGTTTACAATGTGCCCATACACACATCTGCGTAAACAAGTGGTGCATATTCTTGAGGTAAAAAAAATTGAAATATTTGCGTTCCTGGTCAGTAATTTTTTTGCAAATATGCACATATGAGCATAAATATTAATGGATTTTGCCAAGGAATGTAGTGTGCTCAAGAATGCGCATATATGTGCAAACAATTGGTGTAAATATGCGCAAAAAAATACCTGATATTACATACAGGAATTCTAATGCTCAAATATCTGTACCTTGTGCAACAAGCCTTAAGCAGTCCACAGACTCAGGCAACAGGCAACACAAAAAATCTGCCAGGGGGTGTGAGAGAGAGAGGAGAGAGAGAAAGGGGGTGATGAGAGAAAGGAGGAGAGAGAGGGTGAGGGGGTGAGAGAGATAGAGGTGGTGAGAGGGTGAGGGGGTGAGAGAGAAAGGGGTGGTGAGAGGGGGGGGTGAGAGGGGAGGGGGTGGGAGAGAGGGGGGGGAGTGAGAGAGAGGGGTGGTGAGAGAGAGGGGGAGGGAGGAGAGATAGGGTGAGGGGTGAGAGGGAGGGAGGAGAGATAGGGTGAGGGGTGAGAGGGAGGGAGGAGAGATAAGGTGAGGGGGAGAGAGGGAGAGGGGGTGAGAGAGAGAGGGTGAGGGAGTGAGAGAAGAGAGGGTGAAAGAGAAACCCCTAGCCATGTCCCTGTTTGCAGTCCCTCCTGTGCCCCCTTGTTCCAATCTCTGTCTGCAAGTAGGTGTATGGAATGTCAGCAGTAGGATGTTCATGATGGCCAGCAGTGGGCATCTGGGTGATGATGGGGGAGCTTTGCTCCTTCCAGCTAATCCTTTTGATGTGACAGATGGATGCCCTAGGCTGCATTGCCCTGGCTGCCTGCTCCTCTCTCCTGTCCTTGTTCCTCCGGGCCCTTGGTCAGCCTGTCCTCCAGTCGCCATTGCTGTTGATGTCAGAGCAGAGGTTGGAGATGGAGTCTAGGCTCTGGGAGGCACCGTGGATGCTGCGCCCACTGCTGCTCACCTCTTTGCCTCTTTGGGGTCAGGCAGACAATGAAGGTTCTTCTGGGCTCTAGGTCCTAGCCGCCCTCCATCTCTTATGCCGTCTGCTCACTGTGCGGGAATGAAAAACGGAGCACGACCTTATCCTCCTGCCCACTGCCCAAGGACACTGCTGTCTGCATCAGATTTAGCCCCATGGGATCCTTGGTCTTCTGCTCCACTGCCCTGCTTCTTCTGGGGAGCGGCGCCACCCCCCTGACAAATGCTGCCCAATGCAAAATATCTTGTTTGCCTCACGGCAAATACACCCCTGCACAGACTGAAGATTGCTATCTATCTCTTGTACATTTTTGAATAAACATGACTCTTTTACAGAGCTTAGATATTTTAGGAAATGGGAGACAGATCTGGGGTGCTCTTTTTCAGACTCACAGAAACATAAGATGTTGAGGTTGGTACATACCTCTTCTATCTGTACTAAAATATAAGAGACTAATTATAAACTCTTGTCAAGGTGGTACAGGGTTCCAAACATGTTAGCTGCAGCATATCCTTTACAGGGATCCCATGCTCATATTTGGTTGGGTTGTCCTAAGATTAGGCCGTATTGCGCCAAGATTAGGAAACTGATATATTTGAAATTACTGCAGTATCAATTCCTGATAACCTTGTACAGCGTATTTTTCATGACACTATGGGGTTTATTTACTAAAGCTGGAGAGTATCAAAATAGGCTCACTTCTGCAGAGAAACTAATCAGCTTCCAGATTTTTTTGCCTAAGCTTAATGATCAAGCTGAGGTTAGAAGCTGATTGGTTTCTTTGCAGAAGTGAGCCTGATTTTTCACTCTCCAGCTTTAGTAAATAAACCCCTCTTAGTACTATAGAGGCCTATAGGAAGAGTAGTATCCCCCATTTAATAGATGCTGCTAATGAGTTAATAACAGTTTACTGGAAAAAGCCACAGATGCCCCTTATGGAGCATTGAACAAGTCAATAATACTATGGAAGCTGAGATATGGGTGCGCATTTGCAATAATAGACCTGAAAATTTCAGGCCAAGTGGGAAACATGGATAGGGTTTATAAGCAGCAATAGGAACTAGAGTCAAGCAACCATTATTATTTTAACCAAAGTATAGCAGACTACCTATTGGCCTAAATTTATGAAGAAAGATGATGTGTTTGCAAAATTTTATAACAGAATCCAAAAAAACATGTTTTATTTTTCAAAATGTATGGTATTTTTTCATTTATTCAGCAAAAAAAGTAAAAAAAAAACCCAGTGGTGAATAAATACCACCAAAAGAGAGGTATATTTGTGTGAAAGAATTATATAAATTTCAATTGGGTACAGTGTCGCAAAAATCAGTGCCTTCTCATCAATGCCCACCAGTGCCACCTCATCAGTGCTACCTATCAGTGAAGCCTCATCAATGCACATCAGTGAAGGAGAAAAGTTACCTATCTGCAAAATATTGTAACTGAAACAAAGAAAAACGTTTTTCTTTTTTTATTTAGTTTTTTTTTGCGTTTATAGTGCAAAAAATAAAACACCCAGTGGTGATTAAATTCCACAAAAAGAAAGCTCTATTTGTGTGAAAACAAATTATAAAAATTTTATATGGGTACAATGTTGCATGACTGTGCAATTGTCATGCAAAGTGCGACAGCACTGAAAGCTGAAAATCGGCCTGGGCAGGAAGGGGGTAAAAATGCCCAGTAGGCAAGTGGTTAAAGTGCTTCAAAAGTCACATTTTTTACCTTAATGCATTCCCTGCATTAATGTAAAAAATACTCCACTACCTGTCCTAGCTCCCCCCCCCCCCACACACACACGCACACTAAACACTTACCTGGCTCATTTCACTGATCTAGCACTGTCGCAGCTGCAGTACCATTCCACCATTTCATGGTCTCACAAGCAACACAGGAAGTGTCAGCCAAACTCTTGTAAGAAGGGAGCGAGGGCATGGCTTGCTGGCGCTGTGTGTGTCTTTGGGCACAATCAGCCTGGCTTGGAAGCACCCCCTTAGGACACAGTTTGCTGAGGGGGCACCCAGAGGAAGGAAGGATGGAAAGTGTCAGTGGGAGACTCCAGAAGAAGAGGTAAGCATTGCATAGAGCAGGTAAGTATAGGAAAGGGAATCTCTCCAAAGTAATGGAATTATTTTCTTATATATTTGTCTCTGGAACAAGTGTGGAAGATTTCCTATCAAGTCCTATTCTTCTGGCAACCTAAAAATTTGATTTTGTATTACTTACAGGCCAAGTGACAATAATAACCTAGATTAGAGGTGGTCAACTTTCTTGATATGGGGGTCTTGAGTGCGGCCCTCGACACCATCAAAGGCTGTGCATAAAGTTCACTGAATATTCAGTGTCAGAGACAGCAGACACACAACAAGATAGAGTCAAAGACTATGGGCAGGATATAATAGATGGTAAGAGACTGTGAACATGATACAAGAGATGGTCAGAGACTGTGGGCATAATAAAAGACATGATTATAGACTACAGCCAGGAATAGGAAATGATCAGAAACTGCAGACATGAAACAGGAAATGATCAGAGACAGAAGACGACATACAGGAAATGGTCAGAGACAACAGACGTGGAGACGTGGTACAGGACATGGTCAGAGACTGCAGACATGATACAAAAGATAGTCAGAGACTGCAGACATGATACAAGAGATGGTCAGAGACTGCAGACATGATACAAGAGGTGATCAGAAACTACAGACATGGTACAGGAGATGGTCAGAGACTGCAGACATGAAACAAAAGATAGTCAGAAACTGTAGACATGATACAAGAGCTGGTCAGAGACTACAGACATGGTACAGGAGATGGTGAGAGCCTGCAGACATGATACAAGAGATGGTGAGAGACTGCAGACATGGTACAGGAGATGGTCAGAGACTACAAACCTGATACACAAGGTGGTCAGAGACTGCAGGCATGGTACAGGAGATGGTTTGAGACTGCAAACATGGTACAGGAGATGGTCAGAGACTACAAACATGATACAAAAGGGACTGCAGACATATTACAAGAGAGACATATTACGGAGCAGACGCTGTGGACATGCCGCAAGAAGACTGTCAGGGACTGTGGCCAGAGTGGTGTCTGCAGGGGTCCCAAAGGCCATGCAAAAAGAGCCAAAGGGCCACAGGTTAGGCACCAGGGTCCTAGACAAATCCAAAGATTACACTTCCCTAGTGGGGACACTAAAACCTTAGGGCAGGTCTGACTCTTCACCACTCTATCCAAAATGAACAATAAACATTTATGGCTTTAGTTACTCTTAATTAATACATGATTTTTAAACTTTCAAATTCTATGAGAACTTCTAGTGTATCATTCTGTCTCCCAGAATTAAAATTTCCACTTTCCAATATCCTTTTATAGCAAACCGTGTAAAAGCTCCTTGACGCACACCTTTAAATAATTATACAATTGTTTAAAAAAATTAAGCTTTGATAACATGGCTGAGTGCTTTCATGTTAGCGGGAGTGTGACTGTTCCTTTAAACGACATCCTAATTCCCTCAATAGGTAAAAGCTATTTAATTCAAGGGCACGGCCCTGCAATGCGTTACCGCAGCGAGCTTGTTAGTTTAGTAGTGGGAGAACATTTCCTGCTGACAGATCTGCGACATCTGAGGAGAAATGTGGAAAAAACCTGCAGGCCAGCAACAGCCTTATAGGAAAGCGTGTGCGTGCTGTCCTTTTTTTTTTTTTTTTTTTTTTTTTTTCCGCCTTTATTTAATTTAGCATTTGGGGGTCTCGCGGACACATACATCTACGTTTTAGTGAGCTTCCTGGTGCAGGGGCTTGCTGTCATTTGTAAAATATTCTGGCCAATTAGCTAATAGAGTACTCGGGTTTCTTGTGTTTTGATACAGTAATACTAAGTACATTGTAAAGGCCAATTACACAAATCATCCCCATATGCCGAAACCAGAGTCTCGTTATGGACTGTATTTATGAATCCTGTGTGAGGAAATGTGCCCGCAGGCAATTTGGACCATGTGCGAAAACAGAGCCAATGGGATTGTCGGGGAAGAATCGTTGCAACCCGCGGAAATCCTCCTGCATCTCTCTGCAAGGAGCCCATTGTGCTGGGTGCCAGGTCGCTGATTAAAGGCACATTACCCAGAATCCTCTTAAACCCACGTATGAAGCTCGGAGCAAATAACATCTCCCCCACCGACACAGGCAGGAAAACACAGCATTAGCAGAACGCCTAAAGCAGACGAAAAACGTCTTAACAGCCGTATTGCTCCCAATGGAAAGTAGATGTTGGTGCAATGAGGAGACATATTTTTTCTTCTCTATAAGGAGGTCAGGATTAATGTTAGGGCAAAGGCGTGCTAAGCTTTAAGCTGCTTTCTTATAGCAGATACACTTCATTGTATGTTACAGGTGCAAGCAAAAATACAGTTCCCAGATGATGGCTAGTTTTATGGCATTTAAAGGTGTCATTCTTGCTGTTGGCAAAGCCCGGGTAAAACTTTTTTTTATCTCTGTATAGTTTACCCACCTGTTAACATCATTTCACCAGCCACTTTTCTTCACCCGAGGCTTCTACGTAAATCTCACACCACCATTTCAATGTTGGCAGGACTCCACCCTGCTGTGGTTATATGGTTATCTTCCTGAGCTTTTAAAGCTCTCTGTAGCCGTAATTAAAGGATGATGGGTTTGAGGAGAAGAGCGGGTGCCAGAATTTGGAATGCTAACTGTAAATTTCTGCTTTTACCTTACGCATGATATTACATGTGTCATTGACTATCTAGGACGCAAGACTGGAGTTCCTACGGAAGTTTACAATTGGTTTGGCCTCTGGGACGCTAGCCTCCGTCATTAACATCCCATTTGATGTGGCCAAGAGTCGGATTCAAGGGCCGCAGCCAGAACCCGGAGTCATTAAATATCGTAGCTGCTGGAAGACGATAATGATGGTTTATAAGGAAGAAGGGTATAAAAATCTTGTCATTATTTCTGTATCATTACTTCTGATACCAGCACTCTGTGATGATCCTTCTTTTTATTTTATTTTACTGCTTTTATTTCTTTTTCATTATTACAGGGCTGTTCAGGATAAATGTGGGGATGTGGGCTGTCGAATAGCGGATCCTTGTTTTCTGATGGAAGGCCTACTTTAAGCTTAGCTTAACCTCAGAATTTCTGATTTAGTTATATGTTGTATGTTAGAGATTTCTGAAGTATTAAAGCAGACATCTAGTACTTTTAAGCCTCCACAATACCCTCCCCCACTCTTAAACAAAATTTACAAACATTCCTTTTTTTATGGGTCTTTGTGCTGGCCTGTTGATGTCTCTGCTCCTTCCTCTTCCCTTGCAGGAGGGCAATGCCACCCCCAGAGGGTGGGTCTATGACAGCCTGGGCATAGAGGAAGTGGGTTGAATGATGCTGGCCATCACTCAACCCAGAAGAAGGAGGATATCTAGTGGCTGAAAAGAATAATTGTAGGGGGGAGGGGTGAAGGAGGAAATTACAGTTCTAGATTGAGGTGAGTGTTACAGCACAAGCTGCTTTTTCTTTTGCTTTTTTTAGTCATTTAGTATGCCATTTACTTTTTAATTTGTATATTTGGCTGGCATTCGGCTTCACATGTCAGCCAGTCAATACCACTTTCAGGTAGAGAGGTCCTCCATATTTCTGAGCACAAGTTTTCGTTAAAATCAGTCTAACCCCAAACACTGACGCAATCCATAGATTTTACAACTTTCTTTCCTTCCACTATAGGTGGAAGGTCAGAAAATTGCTCGATTTCCCCCATCACACAGTGTTGAAGGGGGAATCTCTCCCGCAGCACTATTATTTTCTGCCACTTGGGAGCATGAAGAGCCTGTTGGCAGAACACAATGATCACTGCTAGCAGCTATAGCCAACAGCATTGAGTGCATAAAAAAATTGGACAGACTGGTTGTACTGAAGTTGATCGATGGATCGGCCAGTTCCTACTGAAGGACTTGGCAGTAAGTGAAGATTACTGAAGTAATAATGTCTGCTTCCGTGATTTCCAGCTTCCAGGGGTATTGGCCAGATATGGTACATGCATGGTTACATTGGTCCTAGCCAGACCAATATAACAATGCATAATTTAGCCTGGAATTATTCTTTAACCCCTTGGCGCCGGCATCTCCTGGTTCTTTAAGGGGTTTGTGACACCGTAAGGGTCATGTGACTGGTTGTTACAGCGGTCACATGATTGGAAAAGTGCCAATCACTAGTAGCGATCGGCACCTTTCTGTGAGGCGCTGGTAAATGTGCACTCTCTACACATGTGTGTTTTTTTTTTTGTACGAAAATATGCAGCCTCTCGAGTTCAAGGCAGGTACTGTCAGCGCCAACAGGTTAAGTACAGTATAGTTTGCTGTGATTGAATACGTTTTCTATTGTGATAACACCTAAAAAGTAATATATTTCCAGCCATCTGTTGTTAAAATCCTTTTATATATATTATAGAGAGAAATTTTATGCAGTAGACATCCAGAAGCTTAATTAAGAATCCCGAACGTGCTTTGTTGCATAACTCACATATCCTGTGTAGAGGGTGATTTTATTAGGTGTGCTGCTGATTACCAAGCAATAAGCATCTAAAAGCACCTGTTATTGGTGTTTGTACTAGCCAGTGCTGGTCCACTAAGGGTGGCCATACATTTTACAATTTTCTTGTACAATTTTTATTTGTATTTACCAAAATCAATGTAATATGAGGTCAAACCTAAACAACACTTTCAATTGTATCCAATTAGGCAGGCCTTTTCACTACATAGTTGAAGGTAAATCTAAAGGAAATTGTACAGAAGATTGTAAAAAAAAATAGTATAATGCATGGCCAGCCAAACTTTTATACCCTAGTGATTGTCAGCTACAGCCTTTTAATAAAGGGTATGCAAAGCTAAAATTTTTTATAGTTTTAAAAAGATTGAGGAAGGGCTAAAATATCTATCAAGCTTATATATGCTGCTCTGTCTTGCCGGGAAACTTAACGTAGAACTGTAGGCAAAACATTTTTTTCTTCATTTTGGATAGAGTAAGAGAGGGTTACAACTCCTATCAGTTTATTTTTTTCTAACTGTGTCCCATTTGGGAGATTTACTTTCACTTCCTGTCCCGTAGCTAAAACCTGTAGTGAGAGAAAATCCCTGAAAAATTAAGGGAATTTCTTGAGGACCCCCAGGTCACCATAACTAGTGTCCCCATTGGAAAATTTCCCCTCTATTACTTTTCTGGGGTTAACCCAAAATTTGGGGTTTTCTTTTGCTGTCACTTTCAATGATAATGGTAAACAGCACAAATAGAGAGGATGAATCTCTCTAATAGGTACACAGACAGCGATAAAAACCTAATGAGTGTCCATTTCCACTCTATCCAAAACTAAAAAGTTTTGCCTTTAGTTAGGTTGGCGATACATTATACAATTTTCTTAAGAATTTTGCTTTAGATTTACCAAAAACCATATAATATGAGGTCAAACGTAAACAACACTTTCAGTTGTATCCAATTAGGCAGGCCCTTGCGCTACATAGTTGAAGGTAAATCTAAAGGAAATTGGGCAGAAATTGGACAGAAAATTGTATAGTGTATGGCCAGCCTTACACTTTAAGCTCCCTGGCGGTATTCCTGAGTGTAGCTCGGGGTAAACTTTCAGTACCAAAAGCGGTAACCCCGAGCTACACTCGGGAATACCCTGCAGCGTTTCTCCGGGCTGCCTGTTTCACTTACCTTGTCCTGCACTCCTGCGATGTCCCCCCTGCAACATCCCCAGCCATCTCCTCTGGCCAATGCCGGCATTTGTCTTCTGGGTTCCGGTCTTTGCAAGCATCGGGACGTACGGGGACGGAACCGGCGGGAAATGTAAAAATTTTAAAAAGTGACATTCACTAAATACACTAAAATCACATAGTAAAACATTACTGTATCAAACCATTTCACATACATTTTGTCCGTAGTGCTTTGTCCTGTGCCCTGCCTGCGTTTTTACTGTTCTTTCTGCCTGGAAACTGAGAAATGTCCATGGCGTCCAAAAAGCGTCCCATTAT